TCATGGTATATCAAATGAAATGATAAAAAAGAGAAGACACTAAACTTAGATAAGCCCATCCATCCAGCCATGCCGATACTCTATATATCAACTGAAACAGGAAATCTGACTATATTCTTTTCACTAGCATAAACCGATATTAGTGTAATCAGTAATGTACAAAAGATATAATTATGTACTGATAAAAAGTAAAGAGGAGAAAAAGCAAATATTATAACTGATATTGAGTAAAACATTAATTGTCTATCATGACACAGCCTTCATTTCCTTGATCAAATGAACATTTGTCTTGATAATCTTCAAAATTTTAATGAGACATCATTACATATTTTTACAATAACATTATACCTGATAGATTATGATTATCATCACCTGGACAATTAAGTAACAAGCTTCCCAGTAATTATACTGCAATTTTTGTTTTGGCATCATCTTTCCTTCTCTAGCTTCGAGGAAATACCAACAAAGTGGTGTCATGCTGAACAGGGATTTTTATCTCCCTTCCCTTTACAGCTAGGGAAGTATCTTGCTCTGTAAAGGTATCCCTGGACAGAATAGACTAGTGTGACCTGCCTTTTATGTAACATACATTTTTGTTTATATAATTAGTATCATGTCAGTTACTCACATTGTCATATGGTGCTCTGCCAGAATTACTGGAATTATGGGAGAAGCTGCCATTTGTTTACAATTTTTTACTTCATTAAAATAAGTTTTGTGAATATGAAATAAAGTTTTTATCCCTCAATGAAACCACATTCCATCTTTTAAATAGAGTGCATCACTGATTTACTGAAATGGACTGTGATTTACAGAATCAGGCTACAAGAAGTTTGATCTAGCAACTGAAATGAATAGCATGCGTCTCTCATTATACAAAAATATAAAAGTCATGTTTAGATATAAGGGATGCAAAAAGAGATAATTTTACTTTTTTGGTGTAAGGCAGCGAGTGCATCCCACCAGCTGATCCTGAAATAAGCCCAAATCCAAAATTCCCCTGGAGGCATTAAGTCAGTGCCCAACCCATATATCTTTCTTCATTAATCCTTTTTTTTGTAAATGCAGTATTGAAAAACAGCAGGCTAGTTCAAAACAAAACTATCTGAAAGAAAAGTTTCTTCTAAACATCATAGGTCATACATATACTTTTTTGAAATTCAGAAATGTAAATTTTGGGGATAGTTTTGCAAAACATGTGACCCCACATGATATCATTTCTTGGTTATCAATTAATAATATAATAATTTGAAGTGACATTTTGTATATCATAAAATGGGTAAGATGTGTAGGGTCTTATTTTATATGATTTTGTAAAATTGCTGTATATCACTTAAAAGGACATATTTTTAGTTTTCAAGCTTTATTTTGAGTCAGCAAAAGAAAATGAAAACCAACTTCAGAAAACCAGCTTTTGTATAATATGTTGGGGCATATGTTGTATTTCATGATAGTCAAAGTGAAAAATGAAAATGAAAGGCCACTGGAGTCAGACCACAAAGCACCAGTTGTGGGATGAGCCCAATTTTCTGCAATAGCTTGGATTAGAAAGTTTATATAAGTTTATATGAGATGGAAATTGAAGGTCAGATCCTGGAAATATTGGTATGAAATGCATTTTATTGAAACCCTTTCTTTCGATTTTAAAAAAAAGAAGTTCATAGTTTTGTTGCTCAGAACCACACTTGGCTTTCCAAGGTTCCCTTCTAACAACTTATTTGTTTATTTATCTTTTTATTGGTAGATTGTTATTTTTTCCTTAATTTTTTCTTTACTTCATTTTTTTTCTTTCTTTCTTTTCTTGAAGAACTACTCATGGCAGCACCTAGAAAGTTGGGGTAAAAAGAAATATGAATGCAAACTAAACATTTTTTTAAGGCCTACCTGATCTTACCTTGTTTACCCTGTTCCATGTATTTTCAGAAAAGAAAATCTCTTTTTTGATTTTAGTATTGTTATTTAATATTATAATGATATCACTTAGTTATAGTGATGGTAATAAAGATGATAATTTGAATATTAAACACCTGGATCAGAATGCTGCACTGCCCGCACATGGCCCAGAACATGGGCATTAGCTTTACTTGAACAACCACTCTGACAGGCGTGCAGGAATAGGATCCTGAGCATGGAAATAGCATTCTCCCTGGAGCTGGTGCTCTTCCAGTCACAGATGGTACATTCCACACTTGTTACGAATAAAATCTTAATTCTTGAAAATCGAGGAATAGGCTAGACAGGTAAGGTCAGGTAGGCCTCCTTTATTGTTAGGCACCAGTGAAGCCACCCATTTATCCACAAAATTGGCAAAACAAAACTACAGTGGATAATGCATGTACCCAGTACCAATGGATCAATACATTGCAGTACTGGGTATTCCAATATTAATTGTAGGAACCACTCCCATCCTAGTCTGACTTTCCATTTCAGAACATTAGCAAGTTTCCACATGTATTGTGCCAAGGACCCAAGTCAAATCTCGTGTTGGGCAGTAGGAAAACTAAAGCCATATTGATAAGAGAAACTACTAAAACAGTGTGATAAGGGATGAGAGAAACCCTGAAGCGGCTACAAGAGAAATCCTACAATAATGATAAGAGAAACACTACAACTGTAGTGAATGCACTGTAGTGAATGCACTGTAGTGAATGCACTGTCAAGTGTAGTAGTAGTAGTCATAGTAGTAGTTTTTTTGAAGGGGGAGATAAAACCTAATTGAAAAAAATGCCTTTGAAACTTCAAGCAAAGATTCTCATTTGTTTCATATATACATACATTTTTTCTCCCTTTTCCTTTTTCTCTTTCTCTTTTGATAAGACTATGCTAAAATGAAATACAGAATTAATAATCTTAGTATTGATGTTGTCTCTAAACTATTTATATCTGTCATAGATTTTGCTGTTTACACACTATGTTCTGTTGCAGTTACAAGATGTAGTTTAGTTTAGTTTAGTTTTTTTTTACCCTAGACATCCAAAGCTTTTGTTTTGGTTATGACTGTCAAGCACAAATTATTTAGCCAAAGCTAAAGCATAAATTTTTGATTAACAACTAATATAATCGATTTTTTTTTTTTTTTTTTTTTTTTTTTTTTTTTGGGGGGGGGGGGGAGTGTTATGTACATGATCTATTTTTGTATTCTATGTTTACAGGATAATGTAAAATTATATAAGACATATCTCTTCTTAAGAATTACAGCTACAAAAGAAAAGAAAAATGTAGCGCTCACTTACCCCATCCCCTCATCCACCACCCAACAAAAAATTAAAAAATAAATGCAATTAGATGTATGGCCATCTTTTCCTTTGCCACATTCCCCCTGTATAGCAGCAACTCACCCTTTGCAAGCCTCATTTGAGAAAGGAATAAAAGAAAGTGGTGTTGAAGGCTGCAAATTTCACTAAAAACAAGTACTATGTGTCAACTGATTACACTAAAGAAAGTACTTAAGAGTCCAGTTGCCAGTTAATTCTTTCCAGAGATTGGATTTACCGTAGAGTGTGGCACAATTACTTTCTGGTACGTTAATGGACAAGAGAGACAACCTTTACCCCACTGCCAGTTGCACAAATAAATATAGATATAGGAGTCGCCTTCATTTCTCTTGGCATTTTTATAGTCATTCATACACTGCTACAAATTTGGCATTTTGATAATTAAAAAAGAAAAAATCATTAGTTATTCTGTTCAGTTTGTCAGCGGAGGAGGGAAAAGTGTTACTTTTGTCCATAGTTGTAAATCATTCTGGTTTTACTATTCATACATATGAGTACTTATCAGTACATCTAAATACATATTCTGTTGTTGTTTTATGGTGAAAAGATGATTTTGTTGTTTTATAAGTGTTTTATTTACATATTAATTTTCATTCATACAGGCACTGTATTGATGCTTCAGAGTATTTGATATATGATAATGAAATATATCTTTTCTGTTATGTGAACTGTTCACACACGAGATCTAAGAACTGAAGGTTAGCATAAGCCACTTGGGCCTTTTCTTTTTTTTAAGAACAAATGCTTTAACCGATTTTACTTTACTCCATCCAATCCTGGGGGGAAAAAAAGGACACTAAGCAAACTGAATACTCCAGCAATTGGGATGAGTTGCCTTATTTTCCTTTCCATTGACTGGATGTACTACATGCCTGCCTAATCTGACTTTACCCTATTCCTTGGAGATTCAGAAATAGGTTTTGTATTGATTTCTGGTATTATTGTTATCATTATTATTATTATTATTATTATTATTATTATTACAATGTTCTAAACAATCATAATGATAATACAAAGAAAACCGTACCCTCCTAAAAAAGAAAGAAAAAGAAAAGGGAATGGCAGTGGATATTGCAGGCCGAGTAATTGAATCATTAGTGACTAAGTAACTCTGGAGTCATCTGTATTGTATAAACAGAACTAAGACAAAACAACAGGGGATAGGTCATGTATTTTTGCCATCATGGTTTCTATGTGTTAATTCATTTATTTTTTATAGAGTTCCTTCTATTCTTCATGGGTTTCATAGATCCCATTCTGAAGAGGTTATTTTTATTTATTTTGTGTGTGTGATTCAGGATAACCAGATATCAAAAGCTTAGACTTTTTACTTATAGACTTATTTGCATTTGTGTAAGGAAAAAACAATGCTTTTGTTCAAATCTTGCACATTTGATATTGGTGAAAAAGTTGGTTCAATATTGTTTGCAAAAGAAAGACAAAGTCTCCTATATTTCATTGTCATAGAGATTGTGTTTTTCAGACGATACACTGTATTGATATCATTGATATCCTACTGTAATCAGGCCTAGTGAAGTGAATAATGAATAAACTTCAGTTATTTGTTAATTGAAGTAGATGTTTCTTTCTTGATTTATTTTTGTTTGTTAATTTTTTTTCCATTTCAGTGTATATGTAACAAGAAAAAAAAGGGCTACATATATTCCTTTTTGAAGATTTTCTTTTTCTTCTTTTTTACTAATTTCTGCCATGTTTTGTTTTCAGTGGACCCATTAATCCATTGTCCAGTATGCAAAAAAGGATTTCCACAAGACAGTATATTGGACAATATGTTTATATGTGAAGCTCAAGGCAGTGGAGACCGAGGAGCTGGAGCATCTGAGGAGAGCTTCACATGCACGTCCTGCACAGATGAAGCAGTAGCGACCGGTCTATGTACAGACTGTTCAGAATGGCTTTGCGATCAATGTATACAGGTGAGTGCTTACTGTGGTATTTGGTCCTTTTAATTTATTTAGTGCTGCTGCAGAAAAATACTTCTTGTTGTATTTACAGTACTTGTTGCTGTCCACATTCCCATTAGTTTCTGCAAATGATTCATTTGGAATTTCAGGCCCACAAAAGAGTGAAGGTAACCAAAGACCACATCATTAAGGGTAAAGGAGAGGTGGACTCTGACTCATCATCCACCAAGACTCAGGCCAAGAGAGCGCTCTTCTGTAACATACACATTAAGGTCAGTACTGTATGGCTGAAGGGGTTCCTAGTCTCCTCTTGATATTTATATTTACTTGAAGGAGAGAAGGGTTTACATTATCACTCGTAAGGCTTTTTTACTTTTATTTATTCTAGTGAAACTAGAAGTAAAGTAGATAGATGGTCATAGTCTTTCATATAAGGGAATTATCATTTGACTTTTAACCTACTGAAACCAGGCTAAAATAATCTTTGTATCCACAGGAGAAGTTAAATCTTTACTGTCAGACCTGTGATCAGCTAACCTGCAGAGACTGTCAGTTGATAGAGCACCGAGAACACAAGTACAAGTTTTCCGAAGAGATGGCAAGCATTACAAGAGAACGACTAAGACAATTTTTAATGGATATTCGTAAGAAGAGAGGCTATATAGAAAATGCGAAAGAATTAGTCGGGGAACGACGGCAACAGATTCTTAGTAAACAAGAATCTGTACAAGCTGACATAAATAGGCTAGTCGAAACGTAAGTATGAAGTTATTAAATTTTTTTTGTGATGGTCGGGCATAATTATTATATTCCTGCCATGTAAATTGCCATATGGTTTATTGATATTGATATGATTCTAAAATAGGTAATACATTATTAATTGATGAGCAAGTAAATATTAGGGAAGGCATACATAAGTATTTTGTGTAATTTAGCTGCTATTCCTGAATGTCTTTTAGAGGTAATCATCATTATTTACCAGAACACGTTTTGTGATTTGATCACGTAGGGCAGAGTTTTAGTTCTAGTAGAATATGTAGATTAAATTTTCATTTAAGAAAGGCAATAGATATTGATGTTGATAATTGTCTAATTTCTGATGTCATTATGGTCTTTCATAAGATTTGCTTTATTAAATTGCAGTCCTGCTTTACGTCATTATATCAGTGTGTATCATCATTTATATAAAATATTGGAACGTGTCTCAAATTTTCCTTTGAAGCATTTGTATTAGAAATACTGGATTTAAAAGATTGAAGGCCTTATGTTTTGCTTCATATTAGGTAGATATCTTTATATTTAAGGCGAGGTGATATGTGAATATTAATCAGTTACTGCAGGGGATGCCATGTTCACTGATTTTAGTTAATTAATTGTGTTTACATGTAAATGACTATACAAGAGCTTAGTCATTAACGAGTCCATTAATAGTCCTACCTATCATACATGTTTATCCTTTTCCATGATTTTCAGAGAGATTCATATTAGTATTGTTATTAGTATTTCAGGAACATTATTAAAATCATAATGTGATTATATATAATAACAGTATCAGTATTTATAACATAAAAAAAAAAAAAAAAAATCTTGAAAATTTAAGATATGGGGAAGATGGGTTTGGTAACATAGGCCTGGCATTTGACTCCTTTGTAGCAGAGCAAATGCATTATTTATTACACTTGCTATATATATTTTTATTGAATATTCCATTTTATTTGCTTTTATTTATTTTCATGAGTGCTTTTCTGTATGAAATATTTTTGAGAGGTATACTTTCTATGAATGTTATTTTGGAACTTTTCTTCAATCTGCCTTTTTAATATTCTTTAAGTGCATTGCATATTTATTGTTTCTCTTTTGTGATATTTCCACAGGTTCATAGAAATTATAAGACAAAGGGGTAATAACTTGTTTGATCTGCTGAGAGAGGTTTGCAACAGTAAGCAGGAGCAGCTGGACAAGAAAAACGAGGTCCTTCTGCATCTGGGATCGCAGGCTGACCATTGCATCACTGTTGTTGAAGCTGTCCTCAGCTCATCTTCAGACATGGCCCTTCTTTATTCGAAAAAGTAGGTGTTGTCCTGTTTCACACTATCTTTGATTCTCTTAAAGACTGGACATACATTATAGATTATGTACATTTATGTGTGAGTGAGAGAGAGACAGTGACAGTTTTGTCTGTTTGTGCATCCGGGCCTATTTCACATACTATTTATTTATAGATCAAGCATCAGAGTTTTCATGTCTCAGTCTATGAATGTTATTTGTTTCAGATTATTAATGGACCAGGTCCTTAAAGT